TCATGATAAAGTTGTCGCTGTATCTGTATTTTTGTGCTGTTCTTTTAACAAAAACGTCTTTTGTTTTTATTTTCTCTCATTGAAAACATGGTGATGCTGCTTGGCGAAATCCCAGTCAAATCCTCCTCTTGCATCTGCCTGCTGCAAACTATAATGACCTCCATACTTCCACATGCCCAGAGGACATTATGAAACATATTAGTGGGACTGGACAAGGGGACACAGAGCAGCTGACAGCACATTAGGTCAGACGAAACAAGATTGATGATGCTTTCATAGGCTGCTGCAATAAATGATTAAATGAACGGCGAACGCAAGAAGAAGAGAGACTCACACTAACCTGACATGTTGTTACTTCAGCGCAAAAGACCCTCAGAAACTGAGATTTGGTGAATAATGAGTAGACACTCAAGATCAGGTTCCCATCGGCTCCTGTCACTCTATATACGGTCTGATTTCACATTAGTGCTGGTGCATGTTGTGGCCTATGGAAGCTTATTTTCACCACACACAAAAAAAAACCTGTAACTTTTTATCGAGCAATTGCAAGAAAAGTCTGAATTTTGAGATAGTCACAATTAAACAAAAAAAATAATAAATAACAAGATGTAAACTCACAATTATGAGTTTATAACTTGCAATTGTAAGGAAAAAAAGTCAGAATTGTGAGATAAAAAGTGACAAATACTTTTTTATATTTTTATTCCATAGAGAAAATAAGCTTCTTACCTCAGTTTTGAATCCACGGTTTGGTATAATTTCAGTACAACAGTGGTTTACTGCACAAATTGCTCTGTATTTAGATAAAAAGTCTGTCAATATTGCTGGAACACACTCCTTATACTGCAGTGTATGGTACTGTTGCAAATGGGGAACAGATTTTAAGTTCTTCCACTTTTGGATGTAAATATTTAACAAAATATATATTTTAGCCAGAATTTTTGCACTCCCATTCTAGATTGAAAATCATATAATGGGCATCTTTACTACTGTTAATCTGCAGTTAAATCATCAGACAGACCCCATGAAGGACTGAAGTGAAGTTCTGGTTCCTGAAAATCAGCTAGAAACGCTGTAAACACACCGTGAGGAAAGAGAGCGAAACTTAACTGATCATATGCATGCAAAACGTTTTCATTGAAGGCAATATTCAGAAAAGTGAATGTGAAATGAAAATTAACTTTGCCTAAAATAATACAGTTGCTAGAAAATGAAGAAAATAAATTAAGAAATGATGGAAGATTTTGTTTTGGTCACACAGAAAAAATTATATTCCAGAAATCTGACACTAATTGTTTTTTTTTTTAGATTGTATTTCATGGTGTCAAGACGCCCGTCATATGATTTTCTGTCTCAAGCACGGGATGTTGAAAGTCTGACTCGCAAAAAACATTCAATATTCCAATGTCCAGTGTATTAAAATAACCCTTAGGAGACACAGAAGCAAAACATAACTAGAAGAGTCAAGTTTGTCTTGAAAAGAAAAGTAAAGCCTTGTCTGAAAGTTTAAAAAGACTGAAACATGGAGGCTATAGTTATTCAGACAGAAGGATTTTTACAGAAATGTTTTGCTATAAAGCTGCTTTTGAAATGATGTACATTGTGAGAAACTAACACTACAAAACACTGAATCCATTAAATTCACTGAAAAACTTACTGGAGTTTGAGTTTCTGCTTTCCCTCCAAAATGATGTCACTTCCTGGAAGATGATGATTGGTTTTTATGTAAAAAAAAAAAAAAACTGTATGAGAAGAAACTTTAAACTTCTTGGGACGTAACCAATTTTTCCAAGAAACATTTTTGTTTGAATTTTAATGAGATAAATGATTTAAAATTCACCTCTACGTTGACTTCATTATAATTTAAAAAAAAAAAAAGAAAAAAAGATTTCCATCTTTATTTAAACATTTTGAGTTATTTTATCCACCAAAAGTTTGGAGTCAGCAAGTTGTCTTTTTTTTTTTTTTTTCTGTGTTTTTGAGAGAAGTCTCTTCTGCTTACCAAGGCTGCATTTAATTTAAATATTTATTTAAAACTTTGACAGTCAAATTTGTGAACTATTATTATAATTTAAAATAGCTGTTTTCTATGTGAATATCTGTTCAAATGTAATTTATTCCTGTGATTAAAGCTGAATTTTCAGCATCATTACTCCAGTCTTCAGTGTCACATGATCTTCAGAAATCATTCTAATATTTGCTGATTAAATGAAACATTTCTGATTACTATCAATGTTGAAAACAGTTGTGCCGATGAATATTTTGATGGAAACCGTGGTACGTTTTATTTTTCAGGATTCTTTGACGAACAGAAAGTTCAAAAGAACAGCATTTATTTGAAATAGAAATCTTTTGTAACATTATAAATGTCTTTACTGTCACTTCTGATTCATTTAATGTGTCCTTTCGGAATAAAAGTATCAATTTCTGTAAATAAACAAAATATGATGTGGACATGATATGGGTCAATACATTCTCATGTACAACACCAAATACAGAATATTCAATAAATCTCATTGTCCCTTCAATAATCTTACTGTAGTCAGGAGCCAAAGAAGTGTCATGCATGAGGAGCTTTAACATCTGCAGAAGACGATCCGACAGCAGCCGAGCTCCTGTGAATCACAGACACTGCTACTGTTGTATTATTTTACTTAAAATATGATAGCAATAATCAATATGATGATTATTTCAATGATTGTTCCAATATTGGATGTCTCAATACAGACTGAGTCTCAGGTGCCTTCAGTGTGTGGTACAGGTGTTTTCAGCAGTGAACTTAAACTTATGACAGATGCAACACAAACAAGTTTGGTAGGCTATATGTCCCATGGGGACGCTTCCAAACAATGGAAGACGGCAGGATAAAAGTTGTTTTAAAAATGTCCGATCTGGCCAGATTCCACAATTAGAAAAAAATGCCAGGAGGAGTATTAATTAATTGTGGCAAGCCAGACAAGCGATATCAAATTTAAAAAAAACTAGATTACCAATTTTTGGTTAAAATGACTGATAAGAATAAGGTTTAAGCATATGGGTGTTTGGTCAGACAAAGACTCAGACGCAGTCACTGTCATCTCGGCTTTGTTATTTTGACATCTGGAACCAGTGTTGCCAGGTCCGCGGTTTTCCCGCAGAATCGGGCTACTTTAACACAGTTGCCGCGGGTTAAAGGGACCCCAATGATGTGATATTTAGCCCCTGGAATGCGAATTTTACCAGGGGAACCCCCCATAAAGCGATTTTTTTTTTAAAGGGGTCATATGATGCGATTTCAAGTTTTCCTTTCTCTTTGGAGTGTTACAAGCTGATTGTGCATAGATAAGATCCCTGAAGTTGCAAAGACTAAAGTCTCAAAACCAAAGAGATATTCTTTATCAAAGTTAAGACTCTGCCACGCCCCCCTAAAACGGCTCATTCTAACACGCCCCCACATATCTACATCAAAGGAGGGGGCTTTGTAGAAAACGAAGCGTTTGAGAGAGGCGGGGCATAGAGGACCTACAATAATGTACATTATTTGAAAAATAATGTTTTTTGAACATTAAAGCATGTCAACATATTCTGTTACACCAAATACACAAAATAATGATCTTTAAAAAAGCATCATATGACCCCTTTAAAACGGGGAATCCCCTCGAAAAGCAATTGGGCGGGTTTTGTGAAAACCTGGCAACCTTGACTGGAACTCTGAAGACCATTGTTTGCTCCAGGACACTACTAGTGCACGACTCCTTCATATATGATAAAGATCCGAGGATGAGCTCGACTTAGACATCAACATGATTCAACAAACTCCTCTTAGTATAATCTACACTTGGTTCATGTGTTTTACAAAAACCACTAGTTTGAGGTCTCATTCAACACATCTCAAATGATGTTGATTTCACATTAAACTGTTTAGCCTTGCTAATAGCTAGTATTGTAATACATTTTAACACTTTTTGCAATATTTCACAAATGTGAAATAAAAGACTTAAATGTCCAAAAGTGATATTTACCTCTTTTTTGGAAACATTCTTCAGCGTCTCTGTTGTAAACAACACTAACTTTATTCAAACACTTTAACTCTTAATACTGAAGAGAATTAAAATTGTACAGCAGCCTATATATCCTGACATTTGTCCATCTTTAGGCCATCATAGAATTTAAAACTTAACTTTTGTAATAGATTTTCATATTTTAAAGAACAATGAACAATACATACAACGTTTGAAACGGCAAAATTAAAAAGACTTGTTAAATTCTCAAGTTTTGCACCTTTCAAACCCAGGGCACAAATGAATATTAATGAAACACCCATAAATGCAACTTTACGAATATAATTTCAAAGTCATTAAATTTTTTATTTTTTTATGGTTAAAGCAGGTGCTTCAGCTAAAGCAACAGACTCAGATGACTTTAAACTCTTTATATAATAAAAGCATGCGTTTTCACAAAGTAGTCAAACACACAAGCTCTAAAATACTGAACGCGAGCCGTTCTAGATGATTCCAAGTACAATACTGCCATCTAGTGTTCATACAGTTATCTGCAAGCTTGACAAAAAAATCTGCAAGGTATCTTATTAAAAAAAATTTTTATACACTTAAAATACACTATTCAGGAAAAAAGTGCAAAAAAGATACACAAATTATAATAACCTTAAATGCATTTAAGTCTGAATAAGTAAAGGTGGCACAAATTTGTTTATCTGAATCTAAAGGCTCATGTATGGATACATTAAAATTATGTAATTCCCATAACTTTTTTTTTTTTTTTTAAATCACTACCATTACTTTAAAACGTGGAGAAAAAAAATAAAAATAAAAATAAAAATAAAACATTGACCGACACCATGTGACCATTAAACCTGATAAATCCCATTCACCTATAATAAACTTAATACTGGTCATGTTTTAATACAAACCCAGACAAATCAAGACCATTAGAGTTGAAAAACTGAAAAAATAGAGTTCAACAGCCTGAATTATTAAAACAACTTCCCACACAAGAAAATGTGCATTTAAAACTTTTATTGAGATGATCAAATTCCAACAAACCCAAATCAGGAAAAAAAAAAACATGTCCAAATTTATTAAAACACAAAAGCAGCTGAACAATTTCCCATGCTCTTCACAGGCCGGGACAAGTGCAATACTTCCAGCGCAGAGCATTGCGGCTGATCCCAACCTGCAAAGAAAGGGATGCTGGAAAGTGACGGGAAGCGGAGATTCCTCACTGTTATGATCAGTTTTGCATGGATTTGCACAGCAACGATACGAACGCTGACTGCAAACCAGCAAAACGAACCAGGACAGTGTGCACAAGAAAGCGTGATGTTCTCTCTCTCTCTCTCCGCGACGCTCGCATCTAGAAGTACTTGAAGTGCTCACATTGCAGTAGATATGCATTTTAATAAACTACCTGCACTATAAGCACTTTAATACTGCTGGAACCAGAGTGAGAGTTTCACAGCGCAGAGCCGCGACAAACAGGGGTTAACCTGAAAAGAATGCACGCTAAAGCAGAGCCGCTCGAAGTCAAAAGCACAGGAAAGGATGGGGACGCAGGCCACCATCAGTTTTGCATAGATTTGCACAACTCAATATTTCTTGTAGTGCAACTATGCAAAACTAGCAGAGAACTGCAATGAAATCAAAGAATAGGGGACAGCCAATGGGGAACAGCGGGGTTTGCCAGCCCCTTATGCCAGAAGGGGCACTTAGGGCAGTAGGTGCTAGTCTATTTCACTATCTGCACTAAATGCACCTTAGCATAAGCAGTAGTTCACGTCGCCGCTCGTGTGCGTTCATGTCAAAGTAGAGCTTGAAGTGCCTCCACTGCAGTAGATTTTACAGAACTACCTGCACTGTAAGCACTTTGACACTACGCCGACATGCAGTTGACAAGCGCAGATCCATCTTTGGGATGGCGTTAGCAGTGGACCAAAGCGTTTCATGCCACTAATGTGGACCCTGGGATAAGGTGACTGGAGGTGGTGATGGTTTTTCTGAAAAGAGTGGGGGGGGAAAAAGTACACATTTGTTTTCATTTAGTTTCAAGATAATATCTAGGTTACAAACCACAGGTGCAATGAACACTAACAGGATTTTCTACAAAAAAAAAATAAATTTTTTTTTTTTTTTAATTGTTGCCAAACACCTATGCACGTGCCACACCGAAAATCTAGAAAACGCATATTTAAAACAAAAAAAAGCTTAGTACACAACCGGCGTTCCACGACGCATGCGCACACCCCTCCCCCATGATTTGCACCAATATGGCGTCCGCAGTAGTTGTGTTCGAGAAACAAACTAAAAACAAGGGCAAAGTCGAGTGTTCATGACTCTGCTTGTTGTTTGGGTTGGAACTTGCAAAGCTAGTCGGTAAAAAAGTACGCTACAACTCCGAACAACGGCGGTGAAACGCGTCGAACGCACGCTTAAACACGTTCGACAGCCCCAGCCGTTCTAGCTCATTTGGGTTTGACGCGGCATCTGTTTAACTTACCCACGTGAGAGTCGATCAGTCTACATGAACAGCGTTTGCTTTTACGCCAAAGCCCCTTTTGTGGAACAGAACGCTTTGAAAATTCTATTCTTGAACGTGACCGGCCCAATGCGTTCCACCGCGTTCCACCGCACACGCGTTCGAATGCTTGCAGAACACACGAATATTCCGATATTTGCGGAAAACCACAAGCGCTGTTATTCTGTATTTACTGGTCAACCGAAACGCGCCACAAGTATTTAAGTGTAAGTGTTGGGTGTAACGTTACATTTCAAACTCGCTGAACGTTACCTAGCCTAGCAATGTTGCTAACACAGCACCGCGCGGCCTGCAGCTGTCCCATGTGCTGTCGCTTTGTTCTGGTGGCAACCGAACTCAACCACTAGCGTTCACGGCGCTGTTATTCTGTATTTACTGGTCAACCGAAACGCGCCACAAGTATTTAAGTGTAAGTGTTGGGTGTAACGTTACATTTCAAACTCGCTGAACGTTACCTAGCCTAGCAATGTTGCTAACAGCACCGCGCGGCCTGCAGCTGTCCCATGTGCTGTCGCTTTGTTCTGGTGGCAACCGAACTCAACCACTAGCGTTCACGAAGCACAGCGATTTTGGACCGCTCGGCCCATGAAAAGTTCTCGAGGAGCGGTTCGGAACGCATTGTAACGCGCCGATGGAGTGTAAACGGTAACTGGCGCGAGCGCTCGTTTGGCACCGCAGCAGCCTCGCGCACGCTTTTCAAATCTGCCTAATGCTCTGAACTATGGTGGGCTACCACGCGCCTCTTACTACAGTGTTTTACCCCAAACTGCTTCTCTGAGCGGCCGGAATTAGCCTTGTGGTGCAATAAAGTGAACGGTTTAGACAGTTGCACGAGAACGTGCTGGACTTCGCGAAGTGAATCGGCCGAAAAAGGCAACAACAGGTTTCATGTCAATAACACGCGCGTAGTAAGACACTGGTTGGTAGAATCCACCATCTTCACTCACTTGTGCACACTTACCGCTTACTGTCAACGCTCCGGGCAAATCGTCGAAACTAAACGGTGAACTTCTAGCGCCAGCGGTAGAAATACACCATCAGCGCGCGCCGCATCCGAGCACGCTGTGGGTAGCGTTACTAAACCGTAGTAACATTGCGAAAGTGGCGCGAACGTGCTCAGCTTTTAACCATGTGGTGAATGAAGGGCGGCTCCCGCTGAACGTAAATATCCACAACCCCAACTCCTTCATTAGCATGCACAAACTACTTCCGATCTTTACCGTCTCTCCGCCAATCCAGCAAGCGCTACTACAGTGAGAAATGCTCACAGCTGTAAACAACGATGTGGGTCAAGGTCTCGCGCAGATGCGAGCAGTCCAGAGCCTTTAAAGCTCGCAGGTCTGAAGAAGCAGCTTCTGTCTTGAAAGACGTGCGGTGCGGGGAACGTTCTTGAAAAGTACAAAATAAATATTTGGGGAGTTATTAAAATAAGTTATATGCACTATTGCATTGTTTTATTTAAATTAACAATTGATCAGAATTCGCATTTTGTGCATAATCATGCTTTTTGTCAATATTTTGCTTTTTGTGTTAAAGTGGAGTAAAATATTGTTTTTAATTATGTTTTTAATCTACTGATGTCTCAAATGAGTGACGATATATATATTTTTTTGATGTGATCATTTTATATTATTTTTAAATTATATCAATATTGTGTTATATCTTAAAACGGGTTTTCCCGAGTTTCAGAATTACAAACTGATATAAAACTCTTTTGTGTTCACAAATTTGTTAGATCCATTCTGAAACCTGTTTTACAGAAATAATGTTATTTAGAAATAAAGGTTTTATTATAACCACATACAGTTTTAGTCCTTGTTTGTTCTAAATGCTAATTATGTTTTTAAAATTCTTTTGGCTGTTTTTTGTTCAATAAAAAGTATAAAACCTTTTTTTTGTTCAATAAAAACTATAAAAGCATGATCTGCTTTGAAAAATTATTTTTTCAAAGTTGCTTATTGGAGAAGTTTTATGAGAACATATTGTTTCTAAAATACTATAAAATATAATTTTTTAACATTTAATTCGTTGCTTGGTTTTTTTGTAAAATTTACTAGCAATTTCTGATTGAAAATTGTTTTAAAGCCATGTTTTCAGTGTGAACATTCTAATTTTCTATTTATTTTCTAGTAAAAAAGTGTCTTTCAAATATATTTTTGTTAGTATTTTTTTTTTTGAACATTTACACTGTTAACCCGTTTTGCTGGTTATGAAAGCATTGCTACTTTATAATCCTGAATAAATATATCAAACGTACTTAAAATGAGTCATTTTTTACTTTAGTTTGTACAGTTTTGATTAAACTGTTAATATCACTTTAGGATTTATTATCTTCAGGCAAATAAATTCAGCTAATAGCACAACACAAACTATTCGAAATAAACATTTACTTTTTGATTTACTAATTGTTAAATGCACAAAGTGTTTGAAATCAGGAAAGGTGTGAATCAGGTATGAGATAAGGAGCACAAAGCTTGAGTTTCTCCGCCAGTGGAATGTGTTCCTGGTGTAGTTTGGCACCTCCTCTTAATGGCAGTTGCTGCGGCTCCTCCTTCTCAGGGGCCGGTAGGAGGCTCTTCTGTTAGAAAAGCAGCGCTGGGATAGTCTTACTGCTGATCTGGGGTCACGCCGGCTCACCTTTCACCTCCAGGGCCATTGATGTATAAAATCTCACATGAGAAGAATAAAAGGCACACACACACACACACACACTATCTCTCTCACACACACACACACACACACACAGACAGACAGACACACAGACAGACAGACAGACAGACACACACACACACACACAGACAGACAGACACACAGACAGACAGACAGACAGACACACACACACACACACAGACAGACAGACACACAGACAGACAGACAGACAGACACACACACACACACACAGACAGACAGACACACAGACAGACAGACAGACAGACACACACACACACACACAGACAGACAGACACACAGACAGACAGACAGACAGACACACACACACACACACAGACAGACAGACACACAGACAGACAGACAGACAGACACACACACACACACACAGACAGACAGACACACAGACAGACAGACAGACAGACACACACACACACACACAGACAGACAGACACACAGACAGACAGACAGACAGACACACACACACACACACAGACAGACAGACACACAGACAGACAGACAGACAGACACACACACACACACACAGACAGACAGACACACAGACAGACAGACAGACAGACACACACACACACACACAGACAGACAGACACACAGACAGACAGACAGACAGACACACACACACACACACACACAGAGAGAGAGAGAGAGAGAGAGAGAGAGTACAGGAGAAGGCAAAGAAACCTCCAGCCAGATAAGACCTTGAAAATAAATACATACATAAATTAATGAAAAATGGAAAAGGAAATGTTTTAGAACAACTAGTTATATTTATAATTTATTTAGTAAAATATAGTTATAGGCTTATTTAAGTTTTGGTATAACTAAAATAACTACAATAAAAGTAACTAAAATACAGTTAAGAAATATATTTTAAAAAATGAAAAAGGGAATGCTTTTGAAAAATATATCTTAACTTATATTTTATTAAAATATAGTTATATTTAAGTTTTGGTATAACTAAAATAACTATAATATAGGCTAGTTAATTAAAATATAGTTTAAAAATACATAATTAAAAAGGGAAGTTTTAGAAAAAGAAGTTATATTTATAACTTAGGCATACATAACGTTATAAGATTAGGTAACTAAAATATAGCTAACTAAATTATAACTAAAAATAACAAACTAAAATTGATTAATGAAATAAAAGGCAACATTGTTTCTTTCTTTCTTTCTTTCTTTCATTTGTTTTCTTGTTATTTCTTTATGAATACTGACAAATTGCATTTGTTACTTTTTGGTTAAAAGCATGTGCTAAAAGCATACATGTAAATTATTATGTTTATCTTTACATCTCTAAATGTTAGTTGTTACTTTGCTGTTTATGAACAAATCTGTGCAACAAAACAAGCATATAAGAGCATATTTTATTCATTTAGAACAGATTTGTTTAAAATACAATGGAAAACTATAAAACAAAACTATAAGAAACTGTAAGAAAAAAAGATGATAGTGTAATCTGATATTTGACATAAATTGTATAACTTTTGCTGGTGAGAGGGTCCCATAATTTGTGATTGCACAAATATGATAATATTTTTCTTTGGATTGGGTTTGTTGTTTGTAAAAGCAACATCTGCTGAGAACTGAAAAAAAGCAGAAGTGAAAGCTGGGTTATATAAATGTAATTCTTGACTTTTACACATGACCGTGGCTTGTTGTCTGACTATTTCTTTAATTTTGAAAGTCACTTTCTGTATGTACACGAATATTAAAATTTTAATGTCTGTACTACAAAAAATCTAGACTATTCTATGCCCAGGAAAAAGGTTACAGTCGACACACCATACACTCACAATATGGATTTTGTGAAGCAATTTTTGATATTTTTTTTTTGTTCCAACTTCATTGTATTATGGCCAATCAATTTCAATCTAAATGCCTGAAGTGTGTAAGTTTGTTGTTTATAAAGGACAGGCTTCTCTTCCTCGTATGCAGTCAACATTTCAAATGCTGTTTACTTGTTTTGTTTTAGATATTAAAAATACTAGTTTTATTATACGCAAACATGCTATTTCTAGTTTTTCAGTTGGGTTAGTTTATTGACTACTCATTTTCGTACGGAGGGTTTTCACTACACACACAAAAAATTGAATTGAAAAATTGAATTAGGTTAAATCAAATAATTATTTTACTTTTTATCGGCTTATTGGCATAATAATACTAATATAATGTTTTAATAAAAAAAAAAAAACATATGTCAGTGTAATTATATTGTGTTGACTTGTTAACCAACTGATATTAATACTGGAATTTTAGTTTGAAAGACACAAATTTCACATAAAAACTTTCCCATTTTCTAATTAGATGTAAACTCAACATACAAAATAACTTAAAGAGAAAATAAGCATTTTGATTAAAAACCTTAACTTTTGTGACAATTAGCCCCAGTTTTAGATACATTTTAGAAATGGCTTAACATTGGTAAAATCAAGACACAAAAAATACAGAATCAACTCTTTTTTTATACATTTTTAATATGCTTGTATTCAAATCTTAACAGATTTAGGTAAATTTTTATGCCATTTTTCCCTTTTTCATTCTTTATTCTTTCTCTTTTATTTTTAAACCAATTTTAAAGCATTTAAACAATTTCCACAAAGGTTAAAGATGAGTAACTATGAGGTTTTGAATAAAAATGCTTGTTTACAGTTGTTGAGTTTAAACATATAGTTAAATAACACAAGTTGAGAATATAGTTTTCCAAACTAAAATTACTTTTCCCCTTTGATTTTCTCCACATAAGCAGGTTACACCATACAATTACAGATACAGACTGACTGATGCATGTAAATGTACTTATAACCCTTAATATGTGAATTAATTCATCTCTCTTTATAATAAACAGGTCCATGCAGCAAATGGAAATAGAACAAAGTTAACTCTTTAAGTAGAAGGGAAAACAGAGTTATACAATAAAGGATCGGTTGTATTATGCATGAGCAGCATTCTACATGAAACAAAAGGGAAGTAGAAAATAAAATACTAACAGAAGTACCTACACTCTACACAAATAAACAGCAACTCGAAACCAAAAAGCAACAACTAAAAAAGGGTAGTGAATAATAATATAACAGCATAACGGTAGTAAAATAAACAGTTAAATAAATAAATAGAAGGCCATGAATTCCAATATCATACTATTTAGTTCATTAACAAGTGAACACAATATAACCACAATCACATACATAGATTAAAAAAAGAAGAAGAAATCAATGCAATGATCAATGTGATTTTTTTCAGTGCAAATGTCAAGTAAAAACAATTCCAGTAACTTTTTATATTTCTTATAATGTTAAAATATATTCTCCTCCTCATATGTTAATATGCAGAATCAACTGTAAAGAAAATAGTAAGTTAATTTCCCCCAAAAGTAACACTGTGACTCATTGCTCTGTTAGTTTGATCCAAGCGGCAACCTCCCGCTCGCTCTCGTGAAGCCAACAAGGAAGTGACTTAAACTGTAATTCATCGACTGGCCGCTAGAGGCTGGCCGCAAAAGAGAGTCAATCCCATAGACTCCCCGTGTTAAAATGCCCAACTTTA